GAAAGAAAGAAGGAAAGAAAGAAGGAAAGAAAGAAGGAAATCAGACATAGGCAGTGTCAGTGTCCTATACGTCCACTCCCTCTGTTCTTCCATTCTCTCCCTCACCATCCTCTTGTAAAATAAAAGAAAGCCAAGCATAACTTGTTACAGTAAAGGCACCCCGAGATTTAGGGGGATAAGTACGGCCTTACTTGTTAGCTGCAATGCTGCAGCTGTGCTCTTATCTGGCCAAAGGAGACAGGGGACAACAAAAGATCCCAAAGAAGGGACGGTGGACGCATGGGAAAACCACTACCCTAGCATTGTGGTGCCCTTCTGCTGAGCAAATAGTTCAAACTGTTCATTCCCATCTTCTATTCTCTCCCTGGTACATTGTCTGTGCCCTTGCATTTCATTCTGCAAGGAAGGTTGCTCTCTGGGCCTATAAGCAAACAGTCCAGAAAAGGGCTAGCCATCCTCTTCTCTTCCCCGGAGAACTAGCATTTTTATTTCGGCTCCAAGCTGTCAAAGATCTGGAGAGTTTATGTCAGTGTCCTGAATTAATTGCTTTAAGCTGGAGCAAGCTCCACGGGCTACCAAATGTCCAAAAGATGTTTATTAATAACATTTCCTCCAGGATTGTGGCTCCAAGCTGTCTCTGGGTGGTGGCTTTTCTATGCTGCCACCCTCTCACCCCTGGCCTCTTAGTGCTCAGGAGGAGATTGCCTCTTTCAGTCATCATGACAAAATTTAGAATTGCCCGGGGTGAAATAAATATCCACATTTGTCACAGGGTGTACACGGTGGATATCTTTGTCCTGACCCAGAAAGAGTTACAGAAGCCCTGTGTGCAACCTACAAGTGGGCTGGGGGAGAGCAAAAAGCAGCCAGGACCCCCCTCTGTGAAAGCTCATTTAGCCAATACAATTAGCAAAAGGAGTAGGAGAAATCGGGGCTTCGGCTTCCCCTCCCCACCTTCTCCTCCAAAAGAAAATTCAGTGAGGCTGACAACACAATGCATTTTGAAGTTTTCCGGGTACCAAAAAAAAAAAAAAAAAAAAAAAAAAAAACACACACACAAAAAAGCCTCTTTAATAGAAAGAAATAATAAACCAATTTATATACCGATATAAGACTAGGATCGTGAATGCCATTGTGTAATTTTCCACTTGACTTTTCATTATCTACCTGAACAAAATCAATCTATATGTATGGGATCAACATACAATTCCAGAGATAAAAGCCGAAAATAAATGCGCTTTGCATATCCTGGAGATAAAAGACACAATCCTTGGTACTGCCTTTTCTTCTCCAGCAGATGCATTTATAAAATAAATTGTTGTGTCAAGGAAAAAGTGAGACGTAGCAGTGTATCCTGAGTGTTGACTCCTTTGCTGGAAATATTGATCCTGCAAATGAACAGTGGTTAATAAGTACCCTGCAGACGATATCAGGTCTTTTGCCCTAGTTTACCCAGAGTGCAGTCTGGGTCAATGTTTCTCCCAACCAAAGCTCCCCACCTCCAAAAAAAAGAAAAAAAAGACTTCCCCTATTAGCATGGATTTAAAGCTGAGGACTTCAAGGGCTTTTTAAAGCCACTCTACAGAGACAAAGCACATTGAAAATTCACATTATATTAGAAAACCCCGTGCAGCAAATGCCCAGCTTGTGAAGCACACAGCCCTCAAAAGGGAAGGAGAGAGAGTTCCATGCACTTTAGGGTTGACATTTATTACTTTAAACAGGTTGGGTTCCATTCCTTGTGTGCCCTTCTTTGCTCCAATAATTAGCAATGGTGCTAAGAGTAGTAAAGCTCTCTACACATTGGCCATGCTATGGGTCCTCTCTAATTCCGTTTTTTTTTTTTTTTGGAATGTGTCACTGAATCTGTGTGAATCTGTGTGCCCTGGTGGGCAGATGATGGGGTATTGTTGAGGGTGCTCTGGCTGTTTCTGTGCCCTGTTGTGTTCAGGGCTCTTTGAGGAAAGTACACCCACTCTGCCCTCCCAGGGTGGGCTCACTTTGGTTGCTATTCACCTTCCTGTAAGGGAGGGGTTCATTTCCAACGTTGAATAGATAGCAAAGAGAGGCCTACAAGGCATGGGACCATCTCTCACCCCAAACAATCACTCTGAGTTTGTGAATACCTTCCGGTCATAGAAAAGGATTTCCAAAAATTAGCTACTCTTCATTGTTTATTCACTGTTAGATTCAGTAACCTCAGAGGAGCTTAAATGTCCATGGCAGTGTGATTGTCACAGCTTCAGTTCTTACAGCAGGACAAATCCACACTTGCATATTTTAGGATCTTTGCACTGACAAATGTTAATGGCTGTTGGTCTATTGATTCAGCAAGATTTTGCAACTCCTGATGTTCATGTACCTCCTTCCCTTCTCCTGGGCTCTGTATTCACACACAGCACCATTTGGACTGGGACCATTGCCTCTTGATTAGCAAATCTGGTGCTGTGTTCCATTCTTCGGTTTATATTGGTTGAAAACTCTGAGGAAAGCGTCCAGAAGCAATCCGATGCAGTGTCATGGCCTTTGGGGAAATGCTTGGGAGGGTCAAAGCTCAGCCTGGGGAGAAGCTCATGTGCTTTTAGTCACAGAAGACTCTTAGGACAATCAGTGTGCTTTCTTCGTCTCATCTTTTTGTTCCAGTAGCTGTAAATAAGCAAATCTAGAGAAAATGTAAGATGTGGTCAAGAAGAGTTATGCAGTCATTAGACTTTTGTTTGAAAAGGGAACACCATTCTGAAGGCATGTTTTGAAAAGGTCCTATATTTTCATGACAGAAATGATGCTTTGAATGGCTACAGCTTTCAGCCTTGGTGAACCCCAGGCTTACTTGATCCATGTTTTAATTACTCTGTGATTCAAATCTGCATCATAGGGAATCAGTATAGTGACATAAGAACTTCAACCAGCATAAAGAACATTTTCAGGAGCTTTGTACCTCCTAAGTTCCCCGAGGAAAGACAACACACCAGAACAGGGTGTCACTATTTCCACAGAGAAACCTGCTCATGCTGGAAAATGTCTTGCTAAGTGGCCTCAGAACCATCTTCTCAGGCTGGAACAGTGCTCCATGCACATGCAGAATCCTGACACAGTGGAACGCAGCCCGTGTTGATGAAATAAATATTTACTAAACAGGAGAAACTGAGTTTTTCAAAAAGGTATTTTTATAATATTTTTAGTGCCCATGTCTTAGTTGAACTATCTTGATGCCATTTCCTAGGGGAAGAAAAATGGACAGTAAGAAGTCCAGTAAATATATGTGATGCACACGTTTCAATAAATAAAATCAGATGGAAAGTTGTCAACTTTTGCTAGCTCTAGTATTTTAAAAACTGTACATCAACAGTTCAGATCTTTAAAAAAAAAATAGATAAAGGGTATAAAATAATTTAAAGTCCAATGTGTCCCTTCACACCAGGCTTGCTTGAGAAATGAGAAACCCGTTTTATAGGTGAACTAAAATGAGATAGGTATTTCATTTACCCTTTTACAGAGGCCAAATGGGAATGCTTTCCAACGTTGTTTTTATATTGGAGGGAAAGAGTGGGAACAGGAATTGGGTGAAACATAGTGCTCAATCAGAATCTCTTGCAACTCTTCTAAAAGCATTCACTTGAACTCAGTGAATGTCTCCCATGGCATTCCAGATTACCAACACAGATATCCATTCAGAAGAGGATGAGATCTCAGAATGCGGCCAGAAGAGGACTTTGCTCTGCCCTAAAGACACCGCAATCTTAACATGTCCTTCAAGTGGTCCCTGATCAAGATAGCTGTTTTTTAAAATGAAAAGAAACATGACTGTCATTTATCCATGATGACAACATGAACAGTGAATTAAAATTTCATTTTGAAAGTATACTGTCACTGTGAAAAAATTCCTGGATTGTAACACTACAGAATGCAATGAGAGACACTTATCATTTATTCTGTCTTATAGTCGATCTCAAATTGTTATAAAATGTTTTAAATGCAGAAAACTAAGTGAAAAATCTCTAAAACTAAATTAACATTTGCCTCATAAAACATTGCTTTTATCACAGGGGACATGCAAGAAGCTGGCTGGCCACTCCTCTCATACATATCCCTGTTTTTCATGACTTGAAAATGTCTCAAATATATTTCTTAAATATGTCTTTATTATTTAACAATGAGAACTATGTAACCTTACTCCATTTCTCTTACCATGTTACAGAACTAAAAAGCACAAGATACCAGGGAGAGAAACAGGTTTCTTTTAGAGAAATAGGAAAACAGTTGCTCTATTACACAACTGGGGTAATAACAGTATTATGGCAATTCCCTTTAAATGGCATTTGATACACTTTGACAGAGGGAGTGTCAGGCGTTCTGCTTTGTACAACTTCGGGTTGCACCAGCACCAGTTGTGTCAAACATGTTGATATAACGTGGGGTTCATAAAAGTCAAATTAGGTGTTCAAATGTACTTTATTTTCCTTTTCCAGAAATTCTACAAGATAGAGATATGGATTCACAGCCAAACACAGAAAGGATACTTAGTTCTCAATGAAGCCCGGGGGGAGGGGGTAGTTTGTGAGAGCGTCCTTCTAAAAGGAACTGTCTGTTCCCTGCAGAAATGACCATTCCTTGTCCCAGGCATCATTCAAAGTTCAAAAGAAGCATCTGCAGCTCAGCACAAGAAAGTGCTTTGCTCCCAACCTCCTAATGCCACTCGCACTTTAAAAGTGGTTAATACCTGCTGTGGACTGACTCAGATAAACCAGGAACAGCATCCCAGAATCTCTGCACACTGACCTGTGAATTGCTGAAGCCAAAGAACACTGGTGAAGTCCATTTCTCTCCCTTCGCTTTCCTCCAAGAAAAAGTAAAAGAAGAGTAGAAAACACACTGGGAGTTCTTCGTGGTTGTTTTCTTTTGTTTTTTCTTTTCTTTGAAGAAGAAGAAGAAAAAAAGAGATAAGCATCCATTTCCAAGTTATTTGAAGAGAGATAATTCTAGTTATTGAAGAATTTCAATAACGGCTTTAGTAGAAACTCAAGACTGATTCAAACAGCAAATATTGAGATGCGGTTCCATCCCAATTTATGAGATTTTCTTTTTCTTTTTTGAGTAAGTAAATAATTTTAAAGAGCCACAAAAGAAGGGAGGCAAATTATTAGATATTTTGCTTGACATCAAAGTAATTTTACATTTATAAAGGCATACTGGCTATCAAAACTTTTAATGTTCCAGTCCTAGCTAAAAAGTCATGTCATGTCCCCCAAAATGAGCCTGAATTGATGTGAGGTTTTATGCAGATTTTAGGTCTGGTGAAGGGAATTTTGTGGAGCTGTGTGTCATGGTTTGGGGTGAAATTAAACCCTACGCTTGATTCCAGTGTCCATTTTGAGCTGGTTATGATTACATGTGTTTTTCCTGTTTGTACCCGCCTTCTTCAGCCCTCTATGCACATACAGATGGTTACATTCTCATACTGGGTACTGGGAGAAGGTCACATGCTTTGCATCAATGGCAATTAGTTCCCTTTTTAAAATGGAAAATGTCATTAAGTTCTTGAATAATTCAAGAGTAGAGGTCACAATACAGTGTCCCTTTTGGGGGTCTTTATGGTGCAAATGGCAAAACAAGGCGATCCTATCAGTAAGAGTAGATCTAAGGTTTACAATGTAGCTCTATTTAGTGTGACAGGAAAATTAAATTACAGGAGGCACTCACTCATTGTCACCCGTTAACAGGCTTGGGAAAATTGTGAGTCCCTGGGGGCAAATCACTGACGACGTGCGAGGGGAATAAAAATATTGCATTTTAATTGGCTGTTGTTTCCTTTGCTTGATTTTGAAAACAACAAACATAAACAAGTCCCCCACAGCTCTCCTTGGAAATAGGGTCCCGAGTCTCCCAAACACGACCCCAATTACAGTCTCTGCCCAGAGGCGGGCGGGTTAACCGCTCTGGGGAGCCTGGGTCTGTTTTCTCAGCCGTGGTTGAGCTGCTCTTTATCAAGGGGTTCCTGGAAAGGAAAATATAGGGACAGGTTTCAAATAAAATGGGCTTCCACTACTCGACCCCCCGCCCCCATCGGAGTCAGCTGGAGTGCAGTTATTATGTTTCTTGAACAAGGGCAGCCTTTCGATTCTATCAGGACTGAGGAGGAGGAAGGGAAGACAGAATGACGCGGAGGCCACCCACTCTTTCTCCTCCCCAGAGGAAAAAGAGTTCGAACTCCTTTTGACATATCGGGTCGGAGACGGTGCAGCTTGGGCTGGAGCAGGGTGGACGACGGTTCGAAGAAGAGAAAGTGCAGGCTAGGGGAGCGAAACGAAAATCCTGAGGTCACTAAATGGGATGAAAGTGTCTTCAGGGCAGTGCCAGCACATCCTAGCCCCCTCTGGTGTCCCCAACTAAGACTGATGGGCGTGGCTGCCTGGGTCCCGCTCCTACCGCAGCGGGGTTGCGCTTCCAGTCTTGCCCCAAGGCCGTCTCCCTGTTCGCCCGGCCCTCCTCTGCGCGGTGCCCAGCGGGCTCTCCCGGACGGGGCCGACCTTGGCACCTGCAGGAGAAACACCGGACTTGCCAGTGCTCCCGGAGGCGGGAGAGCGATGGGGAGGGCGGGAGAGGAATACAGCTAACCGAGCCCATGGTGACTGGGATGGGATAGGCCGGGTCGGGTGGGGACTGGCTGCCTAGGGTCGGTTCCCTGTGCTCTCTAGAACTTGTGGGGGGAAAGCGAGAATGACAGTCCGTCTGCCTCGTGCTCTTTTCGATCTCTCCCCCGACCCCCAGTGACATTTGGCAGGCATTTTCCTTTCGTGGTCTCCTCCACTAAGAACCTTGGAAGTCCTATGTCAGCGAAGTGAGCGTTGGGAGGGGGCGAGGAGAACCCCCCGGAGGGCCAACCCGGGTTCCGTGTTTGGCGCATCTCGGCAGCAGGAGCTCGCCAAACCCGGACAGCCCCACGGACCCGCGAGGACTCGGGGGCTCGGCCGACTGCTCTGCCGACCCCATCGCGCCCGATCGGCCCCGGCTGCCTGGCCCCGGGTACCCGGGCTCCCGCCGCCCTCCCCGAGCCCGAGCACCCGCTCCCGCTCCAGCTCCCGCAGCCCGAGCCCAGCCCGAGGAAGGCTGCTCCGAAGGTCCCCGGGCCACTCGCGGGGAGCCTGAGCCAGGCCGCCAGCCCGCGGCTAGGGGCTCACCCAGGAATGAGGAAAGTGGGTGCTGCTTTATTTCGGAAGCTGGTCCGACTCTGTGAACACCTAAATAGAGGGCGGCATTTAATTTTTATATACACATGTATATATATTCCAACGTTATTTGTCCTAGAGCGAGTTATTTGTGCCTCAACTTTGATACATTTCCTACTAGAATTAGAGAACAAGGTTCGTGCCTGGGGTGGGAGCGGAAGAGAAGAGTGAGGGGGCAGTTTAGATGTTTTTTCTTTTCTAAATGATTCAATTTAAGCAAACACTTGGGGGCTCCAGGCCGCTGTAATTCCAAAGACAATTTTCTCTGGTTTTAATTTGATTTGCATTTTTTCAACTTTGATAATATTCAATTTCATGGCTGAATACACATGTAAACACCGTTAGGTCGTGTTTTTCGCCCCTTGCACCAAACAGAATGTCGCTTGTCTCGGTGCCATGGGAGGTTACACCCCGCGTCCTCAAAATATGTGCAAGTTTCTCCTAAATTATTTTTCAAAACTTAGCGCGGCAATTTGCCTGAGCTTCAGACGTGGCGAACTAAAATATATCTAAACTGAATGTATTTACTGAACTAGCCAAAGTGTGGGAAGACCTGCACAGACATTGTCAAAAGGAAGGCAGTAAAGGAAACAAATTCCTATTTGATATAGAATCAATTCTATTTTTACCCAGCATTATTTTTCCATACTGTATTAATAGTTTTAAGCAATTCAAAAATAACAAATAAATTATCTTCTCCCAGAAATGTTTTTAATGTGGATTTCATTGCTAGAAAGACAAGCATTGAGAAATATAAAGATATACCTTTGTGAGGAGAGGTTTAATTACTACTATTGAGCTATTTTATCAAACATAAAATTTAGAAGAAAATGCAAGGTGAAATTGGGAAATAAGTATTAATCACATCAAAACTGATATTCAACAAAATAGCACTGCCAATGACAATGAAAGTAGGATGATATGACCTGCCTGTGAGCAGCCACCACAAAACTGTAATGCAAGAATATGATACATTGTTTTGCCCCCAGGGCACAAACTAGACAGACATTGTGCAAAGAAATACTTGGCACGTGATAAATTTATCAAAACTCCAAATACATTTTATACTCCATTTACAAAACTGTGCTGGAAAAAGAAAGGACATACTTTCTTGGTTTGTCCAAGAATACTTTATGTAGTAAAATGGCTGTCTAATTTCCAGAGCTACCCTTCATTTAGAAATACATATATTTACCTGCTCGCTATTGACTAATGTGGAATACTCGATACTGTGAGCAATATTTCTATCTCAAATCCTAAGAATTTACAAATTACAATATTTGTTTTATTTTAAAAATCCTAAAAAATGAAAAGGATCCATGAAACTTCTGAACTCTAAAAAATAAAATGGATCTGTGAGACTTCTTAAAATGCTTTATGCTCCAGGCTGGCTGATAATAGGTAACTGTATTTTAAGTTGAGGTGATCTAATTTGAAAAATATCTTTTATCATGTGAAAGGCATTTAGGCAAACAAGAAAAGAATTCCATTTGAAAGACAACAGACTTTGAAAGAGAAAGTCCCTTAATTTTTTTAAAAAACACAGTCAAGGCAGGCTGACTGTCCAATGTCTGCAAGAAAACTATTCTTTATCACTTGGCTTTTAAAAAAAGAATTATTAAATTTTAAATTATCATTGCTTAGGATTTGTACTAAGGTTTTCTATTGTTTTGGAAGGCTGGCAATTATGCCTACTTTATTTTACACAAATAGATGGCAGAGTACGCACGCTCCTCACAATTGCTTCACAGCAAACCCATTCTTAGAGACGGAGCTAATGAGGGGGGGCTAATTGTAACACACAGTCTATTCAGAGAATGCAAATGGTGGACAATAGAGTACATCTTTCTCTTTTTCTATTAGTAATTGAGGAGTAAATGGAGATCTTGTTAAGGACCTTAGAAGTTTGATCATCACTGAGTGAGTTTGCCATTTTAATTTGCTTTCACCTCCAAAACAGATCTGTATTGAGACATGGCTACCTCAGCTAGAAGCAGAGCTGCTGCACCGCAGACAGAATCTGCCCTCCACCCTCAGCTTCATTGAACTGGGTCTGAGCTGCAGCAGGAAACAGTGAGAGGGGCTGGGGTGGGGGAAGGGAGGCAAGGGAGGAATGGTCGGGAAAGTCTCTGGAAAGCATTCTAGACAGGTGGGGACTTCCATATGTGGCATGGTTGGGGGCTTGGGAACTTGGGAGGGTATGCACCTTGGGAGAGTCATGAGTCCTGGGAAGAAGTCACAGAACCCACCCCAAACCCTGCAAAACGTCCAGCAGCTGGGAGTGGTGAGGCCCTTAGCTCAGGGTGTTATACAGGGATAGTGATCTGCCTGTTCTTTTATGATGACCAGGAGCCCAGAGGCCTGGGCCTGAGGAAGGGAAGGTGTGCATGTGTGTGTGTGTGTCTCGCGTGGTGTTGAGAGAGAGGAGGGAGGGAAGGAGGAGAGAGATTGCGGAATGCAGGGGAGAAATCATCCAGTTACTTTTAGTTGTTTACTGAGCAAGGGCAAAATCTAAACAGCGCTTGCCACAATCAATGAAGGGATCGCCTCAGCTTCCAGAGTTGAGCTCCCTAAATGAGTCTGGCATTCTGATAGCTGCAGGTGAGCACCTGAGATCAACTCTTTCCCACTGCTC